TGTGTGTGTGTGTGTGTGTGTGTGTGTGTGTGTGTGTGTGTGTGTGTGTGTGTGTGTGTGTGTGTGTGTGTGTGTGTTTGCAATCAGTTGCAAAACCTATCGTCATCCTATGGCTTTCACTCCCTTTGTCCTCTGTCAAAAACATCACAATAACCATGGCAATAATAACCATGACAATCTCATCTACAAATGCAGAGGCTTCAGCAGGCCCAAATATAAAGAGACAATCATCGAGTTTGGCAGGGACAAACAGTGGGCTGTGGAGTGGGAGGGGGGGCTCGGAGTGTGAGAAAGTAAATAGTAAAAATGGGACAATACGCTTTGTCACATACAAGGAATATCCGCAGAGAGACAAATGATTGGACAGGGGGCACATTTACATGCAGACTGACAGAGCTGAGTTGGGGAATGTAACAGCTTCATCCCAGTTGTGCCCCTCTCATTCGTTTCCTGTTAATGTGTCCAGAACCCAGCAGTCCTGAGGGTCTCCATCTGACAGACTCTGCACTTGCTACATCTCTTCAGACAGAAACAACCTGCTGCCTGCTCAAGCACTCCAGGCAGCCTGAGATCTAAAGGCAAAGAGGGAGAGCACAGAAAAAGGGACAGAGGGGGGAAAAAAGATTTTCTGAGCAAATGCAAGTCAGCAGAAAATACTGTTGAAATTGCTGTTTAAGCATTTTGCTTGGAATTTCCATATCTTTTTTTCAGTGTCCCTTGAAAATGTACAGAAACTCCCAGATTCCAGTGTTAGCCCAAACACATCGAGGCACTGAGTTTAGGAAGGGAAAAACACTAGACATCATCTAGAGTTTGGTGTGCTTACACAGTTCATGTTGTTTAAAGTTCAGGAAATTATTATTGCAAGAAAAGCAGTACTTGTGACACACTGAACATACGCAGGCACCTTATTTTCACCTTTCTGCTGGTAGCACAAATAGCTGTGGTGGCACTTAAAATATTTATGATTTGCACCTGGTGCTGTGTCTGCAGATTCATACTGTGCTGTTTGCATACCTGTGTGTAAGTGTGTGTATGCGTGTGTTAGCGTGTTTGAGAGGAAGGGGACTGTGTCTGTTTTGTAGATTTTGTGCTAATTTTGATAGAAATATTGAGATTTTCTGAAACTGGTTATAAGTCTGATTATTTTGTTGACATCCTGTGGAAGAGATTCAGGATTTGTCTGTTGATTGTACTCGTAAAATATTTTGAGTTCTTTCTCTTTTTTTTTGCGCAGCATTGAGACTAGGCCAGACTCAGTCTAGAATCAGTGATTCCTAAAATAAATAAGATCCACCACTAAAGGCATCAAAAAGAAAAAAAGGGTGCAATAAAAGTTTTTGGCAGATACAGACTAACCTTTAAAGGGTCACAATGGCTGTTTTCCTGAATTATGCTGTTAGATTTCTATTAGAAGTATCTGGTACTCTCCAGCAGGCAGACTTCCCATTCATGCCTTGCATTGTTTTTACTTCCCCATTCAGTCTGACTTCATCCAGACTGGTCATAAAAACCCTTTAATGTGAAATAGCTGCAAAAAGAAAATAATGAATGTTCAGGTGAGTTTTAGGGCCTCAGTCGATGGGATAGGAAATTAATATCCGACACGTGCATACAAGCACATATGCACACTTTGAGTCTTTGAACACTGCAGTCCACTGGCGAGGGGATGATGTCATCCTGTCTGCTGCAAAACCAGCAGAGGAGGCAAGCGAAGGTGGGGGGGGATAGACGGGTAAGGAGCAGGGGGTAGAGGAGGGAAAGAAAGCAACAGGAAAGAAAAGCTGAGATAGGGGCAGGGCGAGTAGGGGAGCTCAGGGTAGAGGATTTTCTGTGATGAGTGATGATAGGGGAATAATTTTACTTGGTAATTTTGAGCTTCATTATAACGAGCCTTGCACTGTCTCAGCCCGAGGACAGCTGCATGCACACTGCATGACACCGTGCGTTGATACTGCTAATGTTAACCGTGGAGCTTCTGAACAGGTTATTGTCTGCGTCGTTTGCTTCAAGCAGTATGATTAATGTGTCTGCTCATTTCTGCGCAGCCCAGGAGTCGTAAGCTCGTCCATTCTCTTTGGGAATAATCATGGAGGGATTCATTCATCTAACTCGTAACACGATCCAGAGTGCAACACGAGAAAAACCACACAGCAGCTTTTAGACTGCATGTGTTTTCTCTGCTCTGTGTATGAGCTCTGTACCTGCTTGTCTCTGAGTTTGGCAGATGGGTGCGGTTACCCTGCATCTTTATCTTAGCACACCACACACTTACTTCTTGACGCAAGCAGATAGTTAGAGAAACATACAGACACATGTGAGCCTGCAGGACTAGGAAAGCCTCACCTTAAAGAGAAGCAATGGGGTGGGTGGCAGATGGGTTGGACAACTGTAGAGGGGCCTCAGCCGGGGTCACTATGGTGTTACCATTTGCTGTGAGACCATGTATATTGTGTTGGGTGTGTGTTTGCATCAGCTGTATTTGCCTTTACTTTGATGAGAGTGTCTCTGTGTATCACCATGGTCTGCAAACCTCGCATGCAACAGAAACCTCACATGCACTCTGTTACATTATGTAAATTTTGTGCCGTCTGATATTTATATTTAGCTGTTGCATAGACATGCGCAAGTTTAACTAAATGAGATATGGGCAATTATTAAACGTACAACCTCTATTTGAATTACATTAATGAAATGAATAAAGGGAGGTATGCACGTGTGTTTAGAGTGTGGTGATCAGAACTCCAGTGACAGGTGTTTGTGTGTGGAGGTCAGTCTGATCGCAGCTGTGTAGAGGGAGGGGTTTGTGGGTTGTTATCTTCTTCAAAGTGAAAGAGGATGAGAAAGTCTTGGAGTAACTCAGCAGGAAGATGGTGAACCAAGTTAACTTAGGATCTGTGAGTATTAAAGCAGTCACCTATAACTAATGATTTATTCCTAATTATTAGTGTATTATGTTTATTTTTATTGCTTTTTGATGTCATTTTGATATTTTTTCAGTAAATATAACTGCCATGAATTAAGATCTAGATATGATATCATGTATTTATAAGTCAGTTTGCTTTCTGGTACATCCATGATTTGTTTTCTTTTATTGTGGGACTATCTAACTGGCACGTTCCCTTTTAAAACACACATGTATATGACTCAGAGAAGTTGTACTGCAACTCCAGAGCAAATGGCTCTGGAGGAGTGGGTGTACTCAGAAGCCCAGTGTTTAATACTTCACGCTCAGGGTGCTGCTTGCTGCACGAGGTTCATCTGATAAATGGAAACTTTGCCACTGAGTAGATTCAATCTCTGATACTCGGGACTGTTGTTTTGCTGCCACAGTCAGCTGGAAGCAGCTTTTCCTTTAAAGGTTTTCTGTTTCCCTTCCATTGTCGTTTCTCCTCTTTTTTCTTTTTTGTTTTAAAGTGACCTCTCTCTTTGCGCAGCGCTGTGCCATTGGTGTCATGCTGAGGGTGTGTGGTGTCATTTGTTGCTATGCCGCTACTTCAGGCATGTGGATCCTTTCTCTTTTATACCCCGGCCTGCTCTCTCTCTGTCAAAAGAGGACCAACAACCCTGTCACTACAATAGTCAACACAGCATAAAGCACTGAGGAAACCATCTTTTGTAGTGCGCAGCAGCATTTGGTGTTTTTCTTTTGGAACAAAAAAACGAGGGATTTGTACAGTCAATAACTTTATTATTTGTGCTTATGCAAATGCATACAGTGAACAGCTGTTTATTCTTCCTGACCAGCATGTTGAGATGTCCATTCAGATGGGAAGAGGATGTAAGGAAGGGATAGCCAAGAGAGGAGATTATGTAAATGAAATAAAAAGGTGTGGGGCTTTGCTGCAGTCGACTTTCTCCCTGTGGTTCTCCCTCGGTTGCTCATGCTCCTGCTTCTGTTCCTCTCCCTTGCTTCCCCCCCGTGCCACATGAGTGATCCTGTTTCAGAGGCACCCCTGCCTGCCTTCCTGCCTGGAAGAGGCATGAAGCCCTCAGACACAGAAAAAAACAACACAGACAAAAACAGAGAACATGCCATGTGCCGGCCTGTGAGCCAGAGCTCACCAAAGCCTCACACACTCTCTGTCCTTTCTCCTTTTACCTTTGTCTCTTTCATTCACACACACACACACACACACACACACACACACACACACACACACACACACACACACACACACACACACACACACACACACACACTCCCAACAGAGAGCCAACAATCTGCTGGCATCACAAATACACCACAGACTACTGGTGTCATCACACTTGCCTTATCACCTGAGTGAAAGAAAGACTTGTGGCCAATATTTTCTAATACATTTGCCTACATGCCCAACAAACCCTCTAACACACCCATATGTGTAGATTCACGATGTAGATTTTCAAACTGCACTGTCCAAAATACCCAAGGGAGGAGTGAAATGAGAGGAAAACTGATGGACGACTGCCATCACGCTATCGCTCTCAGTCCTTATAATGCATTTTTCCCAAAAATAACCAAACACTGTCTCTCTCTCTCTCCATTTTCCCTCTCTTGTCCTCTACTTTTATGCGTCTCTCACTTTCTCTTGTACCCCTTTATCCCCCTCTTTCCTCCTCTCTCCATGTTTCTGTTGCAGGCAGATGCTGGCAACAGTTTTCTCCGAGCAGCCCGTTCTGGCAACCTGGACAAGGCCTTGGAACACATCAAAAATGGCATTGATATAAATACAGCCAATCAGGTGAGAGAACTCATTCACCAGATTAAATATCTAGACTGGCGTGCATATCTAACTACCTGCCAGTCACTTTTATTCAGACTGCACGTGGTTTTCTTGGTTCTTAATTCACGTTATGTAATTTTGCTTATCAGCAAACCTGGTCTTTAAACATATTGTGCTGTAGTGCACAAAAGTAGAAACCGAACTTTATTTATTACTTTTCATGTGCCCACAGTCAAATCCTGCCAGGGTTTTAGTCTCCTGGCTCACTATCTGCTTTCTAACTCATTAAATTAAATTTTTAGGATATTGGTGGACTGCTCACTATAAAAAAGTGTGAATGGATGGTGTAGTAGCAGTGTCTCCAAAAATGAAATAAAATTAGGTATTTTTGTAGCTCTGCACTGAGTAGTACCTGCAGTACTTTTAAGTTTCTCCTATAGGTTACAGTGGGATAGATACAACGAGTAGGTGGCGCCATTTAAAATAAAATCCCTAACCCAATTATGTTCTCCTCAGATTTTCTCTGTGTTACCAATGTTTACTGCATATGTGTGTTGTGTTCAGTGTGCATGAAGTCTCTAAACTGACTACTAAATTTGTGTGCCATCCAGTGCACTGTATGTGTACGCTCGGTTAGACTGTTAATCAGTGGCTGAAGGTGACAGGTCGGGTTTTAAAGGGTCTCCAGAGGAGGTAATAAATGGGGCAGGGGCTTTTCCTTTGCCCCATTTCCATCCTCCTTTATGCTGACAGCGTCCAGGAAGAGATAGTGTTAGTGGGCTAGGAGTGAGGCCCGCAGGCTACAGAAACTTGGCCAAAACCTGTATGTGCGCACGAGAGAATACTATGGCTCATTAATCTAACTTAGTCATGGTTTCCCTTCCATTCGCTTACTGTATGGTGCCCTCAGCACTTTCTAATTATTTGGCGGTAATGCTCCTGTCAGGATTTCTGTGAGCCCTATTCACCATCACCGCAACAGACCCCACATAATGACAGGTTTATTTGTATAAAATGGCACTGTCCCGACCATTACTGGAAAACGGCTCTACAATGACAAAGGGATACACCCCACTGATTAAAAATGTGACTATGTACATGCAGAAAAACTACGATACCTTGGTAGATGTGTTTTCCTGAATGACACACTTTCATTTCATTGTGTTGTAGATACTCAACATGAAGTTGTTTTGTCTTTTTACTGTTTGGCATCAAATGTTTTTGACCTACAGAGATAATCTACAGCATTCCTGTTTCACTTACAGTTACGGTCCCTAAATGTGGAATTTATTCATGACATATTGGAATAACTGGTGTCTGCTTTGTGTCTTATTTTAAACCATTTTACATTGTTTTTTGGATAAAAACCAAGCAAACCTAGCCTTTTAATTAACATGGCTTACACCAATAGCTTCGACCAAATGTAAGCTATTATTATCATTATGTGTATTGCCATTGCTGTCATTGCTGGAACACGCACAGAGCGACAGGCTATCTGGCAAAAGCTGTAGATTGTCCCTTAAACCTCAGTGGTTGTGTGACAGTTTGAGTCAGTATGGTGGGAGTTTGGCCAGGTGGAGGCTTAACTGTTCCTTCTTTGTGTGGATACCTCTGCCATGGCTCACTCGCCAGCACGCTGCCTCACTCCAGCCCCTCCCTCACTATATTTTCTTCCCTCCCTGTCCCTCTCAGTCTAACTGATCCTCCACTGCCATCTCTCTTTGCCTGTTTATCTACTGTTTTCTAACTCGCCTCCTTTTTGTCTTGATTTTTATTTTTACCTTTTTTACCTACCTCCCCCCTTTTCTTCCCTCCTTTGTCTGCAGTAGAGTGATGGTGTGCTGTGGTCTCTCCACTCAGAGGAATAATATCAGTGGTGTGGGAAAGGTCCAACCTCACATGTCCTGTGCGGCTGAAGGAAGGCTGTGTGAGGTCAGACCTATCCCACACGGCTCGTATTCTTCCCGGCCACGAGACCAGCGGCCTGCCATCTCCCTCCCGTCACCCTCCTCCTTTCATGATCATTAATCAAATGAAAGATTTTTCATCTTGATTTTCATCCCTGTAGACAGTGTTTTTGCTAATGGCCACTCTGATTCTGAGAGTACCGCATGCATGGTGTCCAGTGTAAGTATGTGCATGCTATGGTTTGTGAGTGATTCAGTCACTGTGATAACAGTGTCAGTTGGCATGGTCTTCAAGTGTTTGTGTGTGTGTATATATATATATATATACTGTCTGTTTGGTTTATTTTTTTCCATTAGAGGAAACTGCTCTTAGTGTGTGTAGGACCCTTCAGTGTGAGGTCTACTCTTCTCTCCCTTTCATTCAGAATGGGCTCAATGGGCTTCATCTGGCCTCAAAAGAAGGCCACGTCAAAATGGTGCTGGAGCTACTCCATAATGGGATCGTACTGGAAACCACCACGAAGGTAAAAATAAGTGTTGCAACCTTAACCCCTCAAAAATCACTTGTGGAGAAAAAAGAAAAAAAATCATAGATGCTTTAATATCAGATACATTTCTCGGAAACATGCCTAATGTTTTGAGACAAGAAGACTCTTCCTTGAGTCATTTGCTGCTGTGAGGTTGGCGATGAACCAGCTAGGACTGCAGGAACATGCTGCTCCTGTCAAAAAATGTTTTAATGTCTGATCTTTTATAGTCGTAATGAGCACAAGCTGACATCCATGCGTTTGTGTTATTCCTGCATCATCATCATAACGTTGGCCCAGGATCAACACTGCAACCCAACCAACCAATAACGCTGTCTGATTAGTTTAGTTAGCATTAGCCAAGAAGTTAGCTAATGCTATGAAATACTATCACAAGCAAACCAAACTTAGTAACCAAAATTTGGTAAACAGCAAACCTAACCTTGATAATATTTCTTTTTATGTTGTACAAAGTAATAAAGAACAAATGCTTACCATTTGTTCTGGAAGAGAATTTTATAAAATTAAAGAAATGTTTTTCTTCGCTTTTTTTTTTTTAACACACTGCGAAGCTATGACATCGCAACAGCGTGACTGGTCAGTTGCAATGCTGATGCAACATTATTGTGATGATGCAGGAACAACACCAATACAGATAACTTAACACCTTGTAATGCTGCCAGTTCTAAAAAAAACCCCAAAAAAACACTTTGCACTTTGAATTCACCTGTAATATTTCGTGTAAATGTTTACTTGTGTTCTCATGTTTCTGTGTTTTACCAGAAAGGGAACACGGCCCTGCACATCGCAGCCCTGGCAGGGCAGGAGCAGGTGGTCCAAGAGCTGGTTAACTATGGGGCCAATGTCAACGCTCAGTCGCAGGTGAGACAGAGCTGCCTTTCAAAGCAGTCGTCACTGAATCCACAGAGGCTTCTCTTCAGGCTAACTATTGTGAAACCACTGTAGTAACTATTGCAATTCCATCTGTTAACATGTGTCTCTGTTCCAATATTTCTGTGTGTTGCTGTTCCCTCTCTGTCTACATCTCTGTGTGTGCATCTGTGACTGTCTCCCTGTTGCTGTGCTTGTGTGTCTGCTCTGCTGCTGTTGTGGGTGTGTGCGTGCCTGTTGTGTCTTTCTGAGACAGAAGGGTTTCACTCCACTCTACATGGCTGCACAAGAAAACCATCTAGAGGTTGTGAAGTTTCTTCTGGAGAACGGAGCCAATCAGAGCATTCCAACTGAGGTACCACTAAGCTGAGAGACATTTTTGAAGAGTTATCGCCCAAATTGCTCAGTCCTATCTCTGCTGATCCACACCCGCTGTGTTTTCATTCCGTTTTTGTTCTCATTAGCCTCTCTCCTTACATCGCTCTCATTTTCCTTCCATGAGTCAACCTCTCTTCTGGTTCTCTCCGGTGTGTTGCAGGATGGATTCACTCCTCTCGCCGTGGCTCTTCAGCAGGGGCATGAAAATGTTGTAGCCCTGCTCATCAACTATGGCACCAAAGGAAAGGTCCGCCTCCCTGCGCTGCACATTGCAGCACGTAACGATGATACACGCACAGCCGCAGTGCTTCTGCAGAACGACCCCAATCCTGATGTGCTAAGCAAGGTGTGTGTGTGTGTACAGAATGGAACAGGAATGTCTGTAATTGGTGTGTTTTAGCTGTTTGTTTCTTAAGTGCAAAGGGAATGAAAGTAGCATGGTGTTAACCTTATGTGTCCCTGCAGACTGGATTCACACCCCTCCACATTGCTGCGCACTATGAAAACTTGAACGTAGCTCAACTGCTGCTCAATAGAGGAGCCAATGTCAACTTCACCCCAAAGGTAGGTGAAAACTAATTGTCACTGAAGGTCAGTCACATGACTTGCTCTCTGTTCTTTTAGTTTTTTTGTCTAAGCTCATCTGTGTCTGTTCTACAGAACGGTATCACCCCTCTGCACATTGCATCCAGACGGGGTAATGTGATCATGGTCCGACTCCTCCTGGACAGAGGGGCTCAGATTGATGCCAAGACCAAGGTTTCCAAAGCTCTCATCTCAAAGCTTTAGTGTTTCCAAAGCTCTGACTGTATTGTCCTACTTAGATGGTTCATTAACTAAATCACTAACAATCACTCCCCTCTAGGATGAGCTGACTCCTCTGCACTGTGCAGCAAGAAATGGCCATGTTAGGATTATAGAAATCCTGCTGGACCATGGAGCCCCCATTAATGCAAAGACTAAGGTAAACCCCTACAGGCGTCAAGAAAATTCTTTAAGTCTCTTAAAGGTTTTATTTTTAACAGTAAGACAGGAAAGAATTCAAAAACCGTCATCTTTTCAACTGATTGTGAAAGACTCAATCCTTTGGCTTACTGTGGCATACTATCTAAATTGATGTATTTTGATGAGTGGGGTAATGGTTGTGGTCTTGCCTTTTATATTTCTAAATGAAATGTGAAGAGAGAGGACATGTGTGCCCAACATACCTGCTTTGGTTTGAAGTCACGCTGTTGCTGTTGCTTCAGCGTGACTTACAGTGTTTCTGAATTTCACTCTTTCGTTTGGTCACAAGTACAAATCTGGGAGCTTTTTTTTTTTTTAATTTTCTGTTTTTAATCTAAAAAATTTCTTCCTGCCATGGGAGATAATAAAGAATCAACATATTTATTTATCTATCTATTTATTTATTTTGCAGAATGGCCTGTCTCCAATCCACATGGCAGCGCAGGGCGACCACATGGACTGCATCAAACAGCTTCTACAGTACAACGCAGAGATTGATGACATCACACTGGACCACCTCACCCCTCTGCATGTGGCGGCACACTGCGGTCACCACCGTATGGCCAAAGTATTGCTGGACAAAGGGGCCAAACCCAACTCTCGGGCTCTGGTTAGTGACAAACATACTCTAATAAGGCCAGATCAGCTTATTAAGTCATACGAGTCAAAGTTGCTCTTTACCTTGGTAGTAATGATAACTGTTTGCTTTCACAGAACGGCTTTACCCCTTTGCATATTGCTTGTAAAAAGAACCACATGCGTGTGATGGATCTCCTGCTCAAACACTCGGCGTCATTAGAGGCTGTGACTGAGGTAAGAACAGTTCAAATAGATAGATGTGAAGTTATATAGATGATTTAATAAATCCCCAAGATCATTTCTAAGTCTTGTAATCCTGTGCTCCCTTTTTTATAGTCCGGCTTAACCCCTTTGCACGTAGCATCATTTATGGGTCATCTCAACATTGTGAAGATCCTGCTGCAGAAAGGCGCTTCTCCCAGTGCTTCTAATGTGGTGGGTACCTAACTGAAATTTCAAGTCCAACTCAAATAACCAATTCATATTCCTGAGAGCATTATTGATTTGACTCTTTGGTTTGTGTGGGAACAGAAAGTGGAAACACCTCTCCATATGGCATCCCGGGCAGGACACTATGAGGTGGCAGAGTTTTTATTGCAGAATGGAGCCCCAGTGGACGCCAAAGCCAAGGTAGAGATGTTACACACCGAAGCATAAACGTCCTGTAAATAAATGTGATACACGAATACCGGCAGATGAAGCTGACTGAGTTTTGCATCCACGTGCTAATTTCCCTCCTGTACAGGATGACCAGACACCCCTGCACTGTGCAGCTCGGATGGGCCACAAGGAGCTAGTGAAGCTTCTGCTGGAGCAAAAGGCCAACCCCAACTCCACCACCACAGCAGGACACACACCTCTGCATATCGCGGCCCGGGAAGGTCATGTGCAAACTGTACGGATCCTCCTGGACATGGAGGCTCAACAGACTAAGATGACCAAGGTAAAGACTTCCTGCTCAACCTTCTGCTGTGAAATTTTAAACTGTCTGCCCAAATGCTAAAAACCCCTAACTGATGTTTTATACACTTTCCTGTTGGTGCGTCTGCAGAAAGGCTTCACTCCACTCCATGTGGCCTCCAAGTATGGGAAGGTGGACGTAGCAGAGCTGCTTCTGGAAAGAGGAGCCAACCCAAATGCTGCCGGAAAAGTGAGGAAATCATAATGGGCTTGCGTGTTTGGAAGAAGAACTAAATAAATCCTTGTTTGAACTACCACAGTCTGATTAATGTTTGAATCCCTTTCTACAGAATGGTCTCACTCCGCTGCACGTTGCTGTACATCACAACAACCTGGATGTTGTTAACCTTCTTGTTAGCAAAGGAGGATCACCACACAGTGCAGCCAGGGTAAATCAAATTAAAAATACACGTATATAGACACAAGGTCAGGCAGATGGTTTAGTATTGTGTGTGAATTCATGTCATTCTAAAAGAAAACCACATCTGTTTTCTAGAATGGCTACACTGCCCTACATATAGCATCCAAGCAGAACCAGGTGGAGGTGGCCAACAGCCTGCTGCAGTATGGAGCATCAGCCAATGCTGAGTCACTACAGGGTGTCACACCTCTCCACCTGGCCTCACAGGAAGGAAGGCCTGACATGGTGTCCCTGCTCATCTCCAAACAGGCCAACGTCAACCTCGGCAACAAGGCAAAGACAGATAAAATTTAAAAAATGAAAGAAATGTTACTGTAAAATAAACTATAGTCTATGTTGTTTTTGCTGTTTTTGACCTTTGTCTTTTCACCCTGACAAACAGAGTGGGTTAACACCCCTCCACCTGGTGGCACAGGAAGGACACGTTGGGATCGCTGATATCTTGGTGAAGCAGGGCGCGTCAGTCTATGCCGCAACACGGGTAAGACCTTTTCGTCACGCGGTGTTTTGTCTTTGAGCTGAAAGAGAAAATGTCTGAGTAGCTTTGATTTGTCTGGTTATATTTTGGTCCAATCGCTGTTTGTTAATTCCTAAAATAATTTTTTTTTGTATCAATTTTTGAATCAATCTTCTTTTCTTGAAACACTTTAACCATTTCAAAAACATAGTATGCAGTTCTAAAACGTTTTTCATAAAACACTCAACCTCCATGTGGGATCATTACGATCCCGGTTACGACCTTCACTGTGTTTTCTCCACTTTCAGATGGGCTACACCCCACTCCATGTAGCTTGTCACTATGGCAACATCAAGATGGTGAAGTTCCTCCTGCAGCAACAGGCCAACGTGAACAGCAAAACAAGGGTGAGTGCCTCCCTCTGGCTCTGGACGAAAACTACAGCTAAAGCCGGATGGGAATGAGTCATAGAGCTTCAGTACAGTCTGTCAGTAACCACGGTTACAGTGTGTTAACACACAGCTCGTGATGGCTGGGTTTCCCAGCTGTTAGTGTAAAATGATTTAATAGGACATAGAGGAGTTTTTTGCTCATAAGGGAATAAATGTTTGAAAACATGGTTTGCTGTAATACATAGAGTAACTGTCTCAAGCTGGTGTGCGTTTATCCATATTCATATGAAGATGCTAGAGGAAAAAAGCAACTATAAGAAAAGGTGGGATGTACTGTAGGGCTGCAATGAACCGACTAATCAGCTTTTTCACATATGACATTCTTTTTTTTTCTCAGTTGGCTGCTTGTTGCAGTCTATTTTTGCTTAAAATGTTAAGCTTTTCCTTTATTTTTTTAATATAATGTAGTGGGTATTTTTCTTTTACATCACTTACAGTAATGTCTCAGTCTCAGTAAACTCAGGCATCAAGGCTCATCACAAATTTAAGCAAACTGACAGAACATTCCTACAATATTTTCATTTTATTTTTATTAGTTTTGTATGTACGTATGTAAGTTTTATTTTATTTCCGTTTGGTTCATAAGTCTGTGTTTTTTCACATCTGGCTTAGTTTAGCTTTTGTTGACTACCGTGAACGTGGTCTTTAGAAATCTCACAGAAATTCTAGTGTTTACACCGACTTTTACACTTTTGTGTATTTTTTCTCTCACAGCTTGGTTACACTCCTCTGCATCAGGCAGCCCAACAGGGACACACGGATATTGTGACACTGTTGCTGAAGCATGGCGCCCAGCCCAATGAGACCACTACAGTGAGTGCGATTATCTCTTCGTCATCCTCATTCGTAAAGTTTGGTGTTCATCGATGTCCCACTCTCTCTCTTTTAGCATGGCACGTCAGCTCTGGCTATCGCGAAGAGGTTAGGCTACATCTCGGTGATCGACGTCCTAAAACTTGTCACTGAGGAGACAGTTTCCATGGTGAGATGTTCAGAAAAGGGGTGGTGATAATCACATGGGAACATATTGTATGAAAAGTTGAACCTTCCCTTTTGCTGTTGTCGGTAACTGTTTTCTTTTCTCCATGCCCAAAAGACGACCACAGAGAAACATCGCATGAGTTTCCCAGAGACAGTGGATGAAATACTGGATGTGTCTGAGGATGAAGGTATTATCATTATTATCACTGAAATAAAACAGCAGGAACACTGTAACTGTTTGATGATGTAAACATTTTTCCCCTCACGACTCATTTTTTTGCCTTTTGCTCTTTTTTTTTTTTTAGGAATTGCACAGCTAACATTAGGTATGAATGTCTGTTTCTTACGTGTGTGGCTCCATTTCAGACTCACGCCATCTTTGTGCCACTGCTTTTCTCTCTCTCCTTCGTTCCCCTCTGTGGTGGTGGCTCTGGTTTCTCACTGGCATGCACCCATAGCACCCATGTCTGTAACCTCGATATGTCCCAGTGCTAACACGCTCATTCTCTGACTCTCCAGGTGCCTTTGACATAAGCCCTTCATTGTTAATAATATTAAATCAAATATAAATCTTTAGTTAGGAAAACACAAAAAAAAACCTTCTTTGTGAGTTTTAATAACTTAGATTTTAGTGTCATATATACATATTTTTAATATTCATTTGAAACATGTGTGACTGTAACCGTATCGCCATGTGAATCTGCCTCTATGTATTGCATCGTTTATTACTGTCTTGTGTTTCTGTCATGTGACCTGTGTTTGCTGGCCGATTGGTTGTTGGGTTGGGGGCTTAGAGATTCTTGGAAATGCTCAAAGGTCTATTAGCATTAATAATATGTCACATGACCAGGTTCTAATAGGAGTTGCTTATGATTATCACACCACTGTTGCCCTCATGGTTAGAGTCACTTTCAGCTAATGGTTTGCTTTGCCAGCTTGTTGTATGTGTAATATACGGTATATAAGGCAAAAACAGAGTTTGATTTTCAAGCTTGTTACAATTGCTCAGTATTTGGTATTACCACCTTTATTCTTTGACACAGCCTGAACTCTCATAGGCAGCTCCCTTGTCATATCTCTAACTAGGAAATTCAAAACTCTTATTCGGATGTTGGCTGCCTTTTTTTCACTTCTGTGTTTTAGATCATTGTCATGCTGAAAATCAGGTGTTTTCAGAGAGTACTGCATGGTGGATCAAAATTTGATAGTACTTTTCTGTTGACTAACACTACTACCTGAAATGCAGCCCCAAACCATGACAGAGCCTCCACCGTGTTTTACGGATGGATCCAGACACTCAGGATCATATCTCCTGTCTTCCGTACATACATAGAGCCCAAAAATTTCATCACTCCATACGACGTGTTGTTCAGGTGAACAGTAGATGAATCACCTGAAGGGTCAGATGCTCTCAGGTCTTGTGTCAGCTCTTTGCTGGATCTTGTCATGTCACTTAAGGACTTGACTTTCAGCTACTCTTCACTCCTATAGGTAGTTTTTTAGGCTTGTCCTCCACTTCTTCCACCCCACATCAGTGGCTTAAAAAATAGAATCAAATAAAGTTCCTACTCCTAACTACTGTTCAAGACCACTTTAGAAACTTGGAAGCAGAATATAAGGAAATGAGAGATAGCTTGAGACTTTTGCAGAATACTGTTAGCTACGGAGCTATTAAACAAAAAGACATTTACGCGCATGATTAAGCAGAGGACGTAGAATTATGAGTAAAAAGAAAAGCAGGATAAAAAAAATGCTATGGTTGTGTCGTGTCACAGATGAACCGTTGGTCAGGTCACAGCTATTTTCTGCTGCCCCCGTGTGGCCCAAAAAAAATCACTTATGACAGGTTTAAGGTTTCTCAGGTTTAACGCCTGAAGTTTACAATACCGCTGACAATAATGTCATGGGATATCATGTCTTGATATTTTTAGGCCCCTGACAATTCAACCAACAGTTTGTCAGTGTGGCTCTAAATATAGAAAGTAGCTGAGTCGCCGTCTTAAAGACACATCTCACATCCGGATTGGTAAACTGATATTAGCAGACTGCTTCGCCTACTCAACACATGCATGGCACACAAGACAGAGGATACGCAGGACATGAGCTAACTTGTGAACCTGTGGGTAGCGCACTCACGGAGTCAAACGTGGTGTAATGATAACTACGACATCACTGTGGCTCTGGGACCTCATGCAGACACACAGGCTGCTGCAGTCACTAATTCACGCACACGGGGAAGATTTCCATTTGATGCTGATTAACACTTTAACATTATCGCCTGTTTTGGGGGGTAAGTAACTGAAGAGCACCTCAATTCACTTCTAGATATGTGCTTTGTTCTAAGGACAGCAGAGAGCAACTTGCACTGTTGGTGTTATACGTGGAGTGAAATTCTGTTGTTCTGCTTGTCTCTGTGTTTGTGTTCATCTCTTTTAGAGCAAATCGCCTCCAACATCACTCTCTGAAGCAGCGGCTGTCTAAAATGTTAGAAATTAAATTATGCTGCTCCGTGCTCTGATGCACCCTCTGCTCATCAGTAACAGTGTTGTCTCTAGCTGGATTTTATGAACTTTTCCAAAGTCAAGAGCACATTTTTATCTTTTTATTCAGATGTAGTAAAGATCAGTTAATCTGAATCAGCTGCCCACAGTGTCCTGCTGTATTGTTGATGTCCTCAGATCGGCTCTCTGTAGCAGTGACTCCACCCATATTTCCCATATTATAGTATAAGATGGTTTATTATTATTGTCCTCACCAGCAATTTGATCAGCTATAGGAGCAGAAGTGTTCTGTTAGAGCAAGGATGTGAGACTCATTTTACATTGGAGGCCACATGCAGCCCGCTCTGATCTTTCGTGGGTCAGAGGAGTGAAGAAGTTTAACCACACCCTGAGATATTTTAATATAAGAATACATCTCAGTTTTTCCACATGATAACGAAATGCTGTTTGGGGCTTAAATTGTAAGAAAGCTCATTAGCTCATTGCGCAGTCTCTCTTATAATTATAAAAAAGTTTTTGTTAATTGACAGAATGTTAATTTTTCTTTAATTCCTACATTGAACCCACTGCAAAAATCCTAATTTTTTATAGTAGGTAGTAAAAACAACTGAAACTTTCTTCCATTTAATTCAGGCCACTTCACTGTTTATTCCAGTAATAAATTTTTTTCTCCTTTCATCCTACGTCACATCTTTTGTCCAACAATTAGCCATAAACACAACCCCATCAAGGAATTATGTTGCTCATTTCCCCCTCTTTGCCTTGTCCCCATTCTTGTGACACCTTAAATTAACACCTTAAAACCCAGATGCTGAATCTTGTATCAGGCCCCTGAGCTTGAATATTAAAGGTATGAACAATCCAGCTAGACTGTCAAAGGTATTCTCTCATCTGAAACACTTAAATGCTGACATCTCGTTCCCATTAGAGATCCCATTAGTCTCCGGTGTCGATGAGTGGGTGATGTCTTTCACTCAGCTTTTAATTCCAAAGCCAGAGGGGTGGCAATTTTGTTTAATAGAAGTCGAATTTACTGCTTACTGGTTTTTATTTGATAATAACAGCAGATTGTTGATTACTGCAGGCATTTTATAGCCTAACCCTTTATTATAAGTGAATATATGCTTGTAGTTTTAACAACCCGTTTTTAACAGTTTGTTGTCCATTTATTACGTCCATAGATGTTTTTTGGTTTCTGCATATCGTATTATTCTTGTACTGGTCAATTATTTATCTATTTGATAACAGTACTTTTACCCACATAGTGACCTCTCCTGAATATCACTTAAGTGCTCTCCCCAAACTGGTACAAAAAGGTTTTACTGATGGTCTCAATTCTTAACAGGCTGCTGTTGTCAGGCGATGCATTCAATCTCTTTGTCATGTCCTAAATCCAGGACTTGTACTTAATAATAAAAGATTATTTCTCCTCTCCGTTATTGTTGGGAGTAGCTTAAAGGATTCTGACATGGAAAACACTTCCTTCAACTTAGAGTTAGTTCTTGTCTTTCCCTCCCTGATAACAAGGCATGGGATGATCATCTCATACAATCAGTTCATGACTCTCAGTGATGATTTCAAAATTAGAGTTCACTTAACAAAACCTTTTTTTGCTTTTTAGTCAAAAACATATAAAACTGAATCCGGTCAGAATAATGGATGCCTTTTTTCCTATTCCGGAACAAATTTCCAAAAGCTTGATCCATTTCTCTGTTGCTACAGTTAGCAGTGTTTCTCCAAGTTAGAAAAGAGAAGATTCTCAGTGAAAGGCAACTTTTTTGGGTCCTTTAAAAAATTCCCACTCACACCATGTTCTCACATCCCTTTGTGTTTAGTTTTTTCCACTAGTGTGTCATATATTTCATCTTTTTCACAATTTCCCTTAAATTCCAGTTTTGTGTGGAGAAAATGTTTCATCTACTCCTTTCTATTCAAAAAGTGGGAACAACTGTGCAGCTTTAATTCTACTATTGTATCCTGGATAAAAATATGTTTGTGTTTGTGCTGCTGACTCGCTATAATAAGGCCAGATCATTTTCACCGATGTTTCATTTCACCAGTCTAACCACCACATAGCAGAGCCATCAGCTGGGATATCATGTTGTCTAACACTTCTCACAGCTGGTTAACAACCCTGTTCTCTTCTTTCTCTCTTTCTCTGATGCTGTTTCACCAACCTGACCACGGTCTGTTCGCTCTCTTTGGCATGTTGTTCTCTGAAGGAGAGGAGCTCTTGGGGACAGAAGGGGCCAGGTACATGAAGATGGATGACATGAAAGACCATGATGACGATTTCCTCTCCCCCAAGAAATCACTGGAGTACGAGAGAGGGCTGGGCACAGCGTAAGGGGGGCTGGTCGGGGAAGCAGGGGAGAGAGCCAAGCTAGTAACCTTAAGCTAATAGGTGGATGGATCGTAGGGGTTGCACCATAGACACACACACATTAAACACCAGGATGAACACTTGGGAGGAGATGCAAAGAAATGTCTTAAATCTGACTTTTTTTTTTCCTTTTTTCCTACAACAGAAATTATTCGCCAGCCATTCCACGGATCCCTCGTGTCTCTCCAGAGCCTGTTATCCTGAGAGAACATGAGATAGATCAGGTACTACAGAGCAGTATCACTGAGATACAGAAAACCTAAAATAGTAAATGCTTTTATTGCACTTTCATAAAATCATCAGATGACAAAATCGGAGCAGCAGAGAAAGCCAGACTCTTTAGTATTAGTCTACCTCTTTGTGGTCCTGCATAAAAAAGGGGGAAAAACAGGGGGGGAAAGGTTTTATAGCTATTTTATGTGTTATACTGTTATTTACTCTTGAAAATGGCCCCATTCAAAGCCAACATAATTATTAAAATCAAGTATGAATCAACCTATAGTTGCATTGTACAGCTATATGAAAAAGCAAGTTTAAGGGTATACAACAAGAACACCCTTACATATATTTTCCATAGGAATTAAGAGCATAAGTAGCAGCCAGGTGCTTTCAATTAAATGCACTTGATTAATTGATCATCAGTAAGTGTGAGCACCTCTATAAAAACATAGGTTTTGGCAGTTTTCTGGTCTAGCATTCAGGAGTAAAGTCATTAAACATCAATCTGGGAAGGGTTATGAGGCTATTTCCAAATAATTTGGAGTTGGTCATTCTGTGGAAAACATTCAACACACTCATCAGTCTTCCCAGGAATAGACGTCCCAGCAAATTCAACTCAAGGTCAAACTATCCACCTGTCAGGCGGGTGGTGGAGCGGCGATGATTTGGGCTTGCTTTGTGGCCACAGGCCTTGGGCAACTTACAGTCATTGAAATCATCATCGATTCATGTGTATACCAACGTATTCTACAGTTAAATGTGAGGCCATCTGACCAACAGCTGAAGCTTGGCCCAAACTGGGTCATGCAACAAAACAATGATCCCAAGCACAGCAGCAAATCTACAACAGAAAAGAACAAAGTGCTGCAATGGCAGAGTCAAAGTTTCCTCTTTAAAAATTATTCCCACGCATAATTTTAAGAAGGCAGTGAATATTATTTAGTATAAGAAATGTAAGTGACTTTCAGAGTTATTATAAGACATATTTCATATACACGAAAAAATATGTTGTTTTAAAATGTGTAAACACACAGTTTTGATTTCTGGTTCATTTGTTTCAGCATTTCTGTAACATGACATAAAACCCTCCTTTTAGTCATTGCCAAAATGTCTTCTCAACATTCCCTGTAAAACTATAATTTTAGTGACTATAAACACAGGTTTTCAGTACCCATCATATCGCTTCTCATACCTTTTTTTTTTTTAATAAGTAATAAAAGTTTTTAGTTATTTAAATCATTTATTTGTTTATGTCTGTTGTAGCAACACACTCCACTTCCACTGCCCAAAGAATACGACGAGGACTCACTGATTCCCAGCAGCCCTGCGACTGAGACGTCAGACAATGTCAGCCCAGTCGCCAGTCCCATACACACGGGGTCAGCACTGCAAGCATAAGAATCACTTCATCTCTGCTTACAATCTGATCGGAAAACTAACCGTCACAATCGCTGTCCGATAACAGGTTCCTGGTCAGTTTTATGGTGGATGCGCGTGGCGGTTCAATGCGAGGCAGCAGGCATAATGGTCTGCGTGTCATCATACCTCCGCGGACGTGTGCTGCACCCACCCGCATTACCTGCCGCCTGGTGAAGCCGCAGAAGCTGACCAGCCCCCCTCCACTGGTGGAGGGAGAGGGGCTGGCCAGCAGAATCATTTCCCTGGGTCCTGCAGGGATGCAGTTTCTGGGGTGAGGAAGCTTCTTTTTTCTTTTTTTTTAAAGTGTTTTATGTATTGTTAGAAAAGGGTTTCTCTACTCATGTGTAATTCTGTGTGTGTGGCAGACCGGTGATTGTGGAGATCCCCCACTTTGCTGCTCTCAGTCGTGGTGACCGGGAGCTCGTAGTGCTGAGGAGCGAGAATGGCTCGGTCTGGAAAGAACACCGCAACCGTTACGGGGACGAGGTGCTAGAAACAATCCTCAACGGGATGGATGAGGGTAAGAGTTTAAAGGCTGATCTCAGGCTGACACTCAGTTAAGCCACGGCCTAGTGTCATTGTTAAACAAACGCAACCACTTCTTCTCCCTTCAGATTTAGAAAGCCAAGAAGAGCTTGGGAAGAAGCGAATCCGCCGCATCATCTCTACCGACTTCCCCCTTTATTTTGCCGTTGTGTCACGAGTGCAACAAGAAAGTGACCTGATTGGCCCGGAAGGAGGCTCCCTGACAAGTAAACTAGTGCCGATGGTCCAGGCCACGTTTCCCGAGACAGCAGTCACCAAACGAGTCCGTCTGGGGCTGCAGGTGAGATGGAACGAAGTGGAGAAGGAAGGAGAGGAGAAACAGAATCGTTAATGCCTGTGTTGCATGTTGGATTTACTTTGATTGTGTAATGATGTATTCTTATGAGCATTTGTGCCAAGTTTCTTTGATTTACTTTACTGTTTTTGTCTGTTTGTGCATTTTTTCTTTTCTTTTTTTTTTGGGAGGACCTTTTTGCCTTACATTTCACACATTGCATGCACTTGGCACCTTTGTATAACACTGGACTGATTTCAGTGACGTCTTTCTCGCTAATGTATTCTTGACCATATTCTCTGTACTTAGCATTTTACACACTAAATTAAGATATCTAAAAAATAAGCCCATATAAGTTTATATCTGTTTTTGAGCCTTTTGAGTCTTTTAGTGTCTTTACTGTCTAAACAACAAAAGTATAAATAATTATTAGCTCAAATTTTGCACCACATTCTGTAAAGCAGTAATTTTTTTAAGAGGACATATAAGACATAGGACTGCATGTCCCCAACACATCAAGGAGTCACATATCATGGCACTGGGCTGTTAACTGTAAGACTAAAATACATTCAGTAATGTGATTTTACTTTTAAAAATACAGTTAAACTGTACATTAATTCTCTAAAAACAACAATCCAGTCATCAAACATAAAACTATATTGATTTCATTCGAGTTTCTGCCTTCCTAATTCTTCGCCGTATGCATCTATTTGTTTCTCAGACGTGCATATTTGGGATTTCAAGGTTTCGTTTGCATGTGATTTTTATTTTGGTTGCTTAAACAATACCGACTGTTTTGCCATTTGTTTTGCTGCATGTTCTTTTGTTCCAGTTCAAGATTCTGATTGCATTAATTCCTCATTCAAAATCTTCTTTCCATACATAGATCGGCAGCTTAAGCAGCTTGTGTGACTCCAAATCATGTTTCAGTAAATCAAAATGAAAAGTGGACCTTCTACTACTGTTTTGATGAAATAGTTTTTCTTTTAGGCACACGAGTGAATTCAATCTGAGCTCGATAGGTTTTGCAAACTAACAACGCTGATAGTGAATGTAACTGAATATTAGTGAAATATAATGTTCAGTATTTTCTTACATGGCTATATTTTAGGAACATATCTGTTTAACTAAAATGCTGTTGTAGTAATTGCGTCATCAATGGCCTTGTGAAAAGCCACAGTGCCTTTTTACTTGATATCTCTCCTGTATTAATGATTGTAAAAGCTTCTTGTTAACATACTTTGTTACATTTTACAATAAAAAATATACTTGTAAAGTCATGCAACCAGTTTGTGTTACTATTTGGTTTTCAGATGTATTGTTTCTGTGTTGAAGTAGTTTGTTCACTGCGGCCTTATTTCTCTTTCTCTCTCTTTCTCATCATCTTTAATTTTCCCCACTTGGTTGTCCTTTCTGTTATCCACTTCTGTTGTCTCATCATCCACCTACAATCAACTCATTACACGTGGCATCCTGATCTTTTTTTAAAATCCTTCTTCATATTTATTTATTTTCATTTAATCTCCCTTTCATCAAAACCGTGCTCCCTTTTGCCATCATCGACTCCCAACCTCAGGCTCAGCCAGTTCCAGATGAGCTGGTTGCAAAGCTTCTCGGTAACCAAGCAAACTTTAGCCCCGTAGTCACGGTGGAGCCTCGGAGGCGCAAGTTTCACCGACCAATCGGCCTACGTATTCCCCTGCCTCCATCTTGGAGGGAGAGCCCTCGAGACTCTGGGGAGGGTGATACTACCAGTCTGCGTCTTCTCTGCTCTGTCATAGGTACTCCATGCCACAGCTGTCACGTGGGTCTTTGTGTCAATGTCAGCAGTTTACTTCCAAAGCAAAGAAAGATTTGTGTATGCAGCTGATAGTCAGACTTGGTTAAAATACTTGGTTTAAAATGCTGCCATCACTAGACTTACTCTTTATGACTGCTGATCACTCGGTGTGCTCTCTCTCATTCTCTGTGACTCCCAGGTGGTACAGCCCCAGCTCAATGGGAGGACATTACTGGCACTACTAAGCTTATCTATGCTAGTGAATGTGCCAGTTTCACAACCAATGTTTCTGCACGGTAAGTTCAGATAGCAGCATGTGCAGTGAAATTATATTTGTCATCATGACACAGAAAAAAGAAAGATTATTCAAATTCTTTGCCATCTACAACCACTGCAGTAAGCAGCTTGGCTGTGATTATAAAGAGACAAAGAACAGATGCATGTGACTGAACGTGATCGTTTTCTCCCAGATTCTGGCTCGCAGACTGTCCTCGGACAGCCGAGGCTGTGTCCTTTGCCAACCTGCTGTACAGGGAGCTGTCGGCCGTACCTTACATGGCCAAGTTTGTGGTGTTTGCAAAAATGAATGAGCTACGCGAGGGCCGTTTGCGCTGCTACTGCATGACTGATGACAAGATGGATAAAACTCTGGAGCAGCATGAGAACTTCACAGAGGTGGCTCGCAGCAGGGACATAGAGGTCAGTTCAGAGACCTTCTTACACAGGACAATCGAGTTCTTGGGCCATGTTGTCCTTATTGGATTACTTCTTTGTACATGTGTTAATGCCTCTGTGATTACAGGTTATGGAAGGAATGCCACTTCACCTGGAGTGTTCAGGGAATCTTGTTCCAGTGAGGAAGGCCACCCAACAGCCTCGCTGCTTTAGCTTCCAGGCCTTCAGAGATAATCGACTTCCTGTCTCTGTTAAGGTGTTGCCTTTTGACTTGTCTTCGGTTTTATTTTCTTTGTTACTCCATTAGGTCTTTCTCTACCCATGCATCTGTCTTTCTTTTTTTTTAACCTTTAACCTCTGCGTCTAAGGTGAGGGACAGTAGTAAAGAGCCCACTGGATTTTTGTCTTTCCTTCGCAAATCCACCAAGTATGAAGACAGCCAGCATGTGCTCTGCAACCTCAACATCGCTATGCCTCCATGTATCAAGGTAAAGCTTTAAAAGACAACTTCAATGTATTTGTTCACATTTCTTCCGAGATTTCCGACTGCATTGATGTTTTCTTTCAGATTGTTGGGAGTGAAGACCGAAGGCGAACTCTCACCCCGCTGGCTTTAAGAGAAAGATACAGTGCTCTAAATGAGCCTGCAATGGGTACGAGTCTCTCACTCTCACTTCTTTATGTAACTAGATCTGTCTACCTTCTAGGGAATAATGTATAATACATGATGATGGCTTCATTATGTCTTATCATAGCACTTAATTTCCAGCCAGCCTAGAATCATTAAGCATCTCAGCTTTATATTTATGTTTTCTGCAGCATCAATGAGTGCTATGGAAAGGACAGAGCTGAAGATGGCTGTAATTGCAGAACAGTTGGGACTGAGCTGGGCTGGTGAGTGGATCTGTTTTATGTGCGGTAAACCATCCGTGTTTATCTTATGTCTGACAAGTTTGCTAGCATGCTGCTGATTAAACAAAGTTAACACATGGTGCCCAGCCAATGAAACTAATTATTTTCTCTGCCAAGAGCCGTGGCTATTTTACAGAGACTGTTCCTTCTCTTCTGTGTACGCCTCATCGGCGTGACTCATACGCCAAATTATATAAATATTTCTCCTGCTTTCTTGATCTTCCTTCTGTCACTTTCTAAACAGAGTTGGCACGTGAGCTTCAGCTGAGTGTGGATGACATTAACAAGATTCGTGTGGAGAATCCAAACTCACTGCTGGAGCAGAGCTCCGCACTGCTCAACCTGTGGGCCACTCTCGAGGGCAAGAGGGCAAAGAGTCAGTAAATCGAAATTTGCTGTAGACATTTGCCATTTCACTTCACTCAAAGCTACACTTTTATGATTTCTAGAAACCCACCCCTCTTCTTCTTTCTTCCATGCATGCCGGTGACTCCTTTTTTTCACTGCAGTGGAGAGTTTGTACACAGCTCTGAAGAGCATCGACCGCATGGACATCATCAACATGTTGGAGGGCCAGCCACCTCAGCCTGTGAGACAAGGATCCCGTGATCTCAACAGACGTCGACACAGCGAGAGAGACCATCTGTCCCCTGGTATGACCAATGGTAAGCGCCCTCCCCAGATCCCATGGCCTGGTCTCATTTCTGTCCCATTTCCTTGATCTCCAGCCACTTTTCCAATAAACATGCACCTCTTTCCCCAAACTCCCCAGAAGATGAAGTCAAGTTTGTTTCCCTCTAAATGACTCTGTTGTCCCAATGTCCTTCTTATTTAATCTCTGTGATGCTCTTGTGTTTTAAAGCTGCCTCAAACTTTTGCAGGATTTTACCTCAGCAACACACAGAGGGACTCAGGACACTCCTACTGTAAAAAGGGTAATATAGAAATGCAGTGAAGTACCTAGGAAACCTTAATTAAATGGTATACTTCAGGGGGTTAATGGTGTATTGGTTCAGTTATTCCATTCTCCTATCCTCAGAGTTTAGTCTTTTTCTTGCTTGTTTGGTAGTTAAGATGTTCTGAGCTTAATTCCAATTCTAATTCACAATAATTTTATGCATCATAAAAAAAAATTATATAAAATGTGTCGTCATTTAGCATGACATATTCTCTATAAAAACACCTTGTCATACATGATGAGTCCATGTAGATCACAAGTAAAGCCTCGCACATTTGGCCTTCTTACCAACTGTCAGACCTCAGTCTTTTCCTCATGGTTTCCTTCACACGTGCATACCCTACATCTTATTGATTCCATTTTCACATCTGGCCTGCTGTGAGCTCCCCGTCTTCCTGGACTGGCTCCTCCTCTCTGCCTCGAGTGCAGATGATGAGTTAGTCGGACAGGTGATAGGTCCTCTCCGTGAAAACTGGAGCAATAAAGAGAGATGTAACAATGCATACGGATGTGACCATGATGGCTAAAGCGTGAAAAGGGAGACACTCAGATCACAGCTGCAGTGAATCTGATAACTTTGTATCTGTCTCTTCTGTCTGTCTGTCTGTCTTTTTGGCTATTTGCCTCCCAAAGGTCGTTCCTACTTTGACTTGGCGGATTTCAAAAACTGGATATTGTTTACTTGACTTATTTTACAGTGGAAAAAAAAAGGATCAAGAGGTTTATGATTTACGATCTAGTTCAGTACTTACTAAAGTCACATCAATAGAGTGAGGCACCCAGCATGACTTTTCAGTGAATAAGAGTGAAACTAGCAAAAGTAAAAACTAGCAACAAAAAAAAAAGAAAAGAGTATTTAAAAATATTGTGGTGAAAAATAAAGAACAATGCGCACATAATTATTTTCAGTTTTTACTTTATTCACAGAAGTTAGATGAGAAGATAATGTCTCATTGCATGTTAGCTTAGCTTAGCATGAAGGGAGAAGAGACTGGAAGAAGCAGCTAGCAACCCTGGCTTTATTTTTAACCAGGTAACCTCAGTAAAACCACAGCGTAGACCTATAGACTTTAGACAAAGTTTTTAAAAAAAGACACTAATGAACTGCTTTCACATCTGGACAGAAGCTAACTATACCTCACTTTTTTTCTCCACGTTTATGCTAAGCTGAGCTAACCAGCTGCTTTTTAACTGCAGAAATGTGTGGCATCAATCTTCTCATCTGACACTTTGGACAGAAAGGGAAGGAAATTCATGGATATTGAAACATGTCAGTGATTATTTAAAATCAGGTCCGTTATAGACTCCCCATCACCACAAAAACAAACGCGATTTCTAAAAGTACTGTGTTTGCAGAAAATATTCCTTCAAACTTGAAATAAAAAGCAACCAAAGGTTTATTCAAAAGCGACTCCAGGTTACTAAACAAAGCATACACTTGATCATACTAGAGTAACCCCTTTTCCTTTAGACCTCTGTCTGCCTGTGTCTTGCATGGGACTTAGTTTGAGTCTTTAGAGGTAGCGTTGGTGCACCGAATGTGCTTTTGGGAGCCCTGATTCATTCCCTGTGACTCTGTCCCTCTCTTTGTTTTTCTCTGGTCATCTGCAGCCTAGCCGCCCCACTCTTCCTCCTTCTCACTTCCTCTCCGAACTCTGACCTCATGTTGACCTCTGACCCACATCTTAAGCTTTTATTTTTTGCGACAAATGCATTTTTCTTTTTTTTCTTTTTTTCCTGACTCTTGAAAACCCCACCTTTCTTAAGTGTCCACTCTGTGACAGATACCCCTCACACAGACTGTGTACTCAGCACCCACTGGGAGGGGGGAGGTGACCCTCACTCTCTCTCACTGTTTCTGTCTGTGTTCATCACCCTGTTTTATATTCCTCTTCCTCTCTTGCTGCTCTTCTCTGTTTCCCACTCCTTCCTTTCCCTCCTTTCCCATCCCTTTTTTTCCCTGCTCTCCTGCATGTCGGCATGTGAACAAGACTTCGCTCATTGCTCATCTCCCTCGTGTTTGCATGGAGACACCGGGATGAGGGCCCGCTCTGAGACTGGACTGTTGGAGATAAAGCTTCAAATGCTGCATCAGTGCCTAACGTTGCCTGACAAACAGACATGTGTCTTTGCATGGCATGTATACTGAGAATGACTACAGTCTGTCTCTGTTACTCCTCAATGATCTGTCTTAAAAGGGGATACAGAAAGGCCACAGACCTTTTTTTGTGAACTGTGTCTGCTGTTCATGTATGAATGCTGTGATCGTTTTGTGTGTCGCTAATTCTACGTAAAACCGTGTCCATCTTATGTTGTGCAACTATCTATCTTTGATGTCTCTGTGAGTTTTGAGATGTTCAGTTTGAATTTGTTCTCCAACTGTTTCTAAATGTGCTCATTGATTACTGTGAAGTCTATATGTCTCTATGTGTGTATGTGTGCGTGTATCGGTGTGAGCATCTCTACGTGTTTTTTAAATGTTTTGTGGCTTCCACATACATATATGTGCCCGTTTACTGGGCAAAAATTGTATCGTTTATTTATATATATGTATATATATATATTTATGTTTCTGTACATACATCTGTCAGACACATTTTCCATATTTCACACTTTTTATTATTTCAAATTTTCTCCCCAGATCTCTTTCTTTTCTCGTTATTTACAAATCTACTGCCACAAAGTGAGAGCGATGACAAACTCAGTTAGTTACAAATTCACATTCTTATTTCCTTTGGTCTTACCACAAAGCACAAACACAAAATATCCTGATAGATAGATAGATAGATAGATAGATAGATAGATAGATAGATAGATAGATAGATAGATAGATAGATAGATAGATAGATAGATAGATAGATAG